TTCTTTGATTTTTACTTGCTTCTCTTCTGTGATTTGTTTTATCCCAGGACTTGGGGTTTACTTCATCAGGATAGTTTCTAAGTTGAGGACTTTCACTTCTTCTGTTCCTAATGTATTTTTCCTGTCTTCGGTATTTCTCTTTCAATATTCCACCATCTAATTCTCTAGGTTGATTATAGTTCTTTCCACTGTGATTCTCAAGTTGCATGTCTTGCAAATTTTTCCTTAGATAAGATTGTTTGTGCTGTTCTTTTGGTGATTTTTCCCTTTCTTTGTTATTTTCTCTTTGGTTAGAACCTTTTTGAAACTTTTCTTTTTTTTTCGATTTTTGTTTCTTTTTGCCTGAATCTGTCAGAGGCAGAAAACAGAGGTTTAGCATTAAATTACAAAACACAATATAAACAATGCTGGTTGCAAGGGTAACCATAAAGTGACAATAGATAAGCTATATTTCCCATCAAAACATCTTTACGTATCCATGTCAGACTCATTAGATCTGCCATGTGATTAAACATCAACAAATTAATGGTTACCTTTAACGTTTATTAACAAAACATGAAAACAATGTCTCGGGCAACAGCCCTTCACCAGGTTACCAATGACGATGAAACTGTTAATATAAAGGTTAGGTTGAAAGAACAAATAACACATGGCTCAATAACATGTTCCTGAAGCTACAAATGAGCTATGGGAAGTAACATATAAAAAAAATCAAATCAAAATAATAAAAGTATAAAAATTGTATAAATTCAGTTAATCATAGTAAATAAACTAAATAAAAAAAATGAAAATATAGAATAAAAAGACCATCTTAATACCTCTAAAGTTGCCCAAATCATCAAACAAAAACATCCTCACTGACAACCCCATAACTTCCAAACATTTTTAAAGAACACCCACTTGTCAATTACAGACATGATAAAAATATAAAAAACATCTTAGTCCACAGTGTCATCCAAAGATCTACCCCTAGTGTAAACCCAGGTACAACCCATTGTTACAGAAAGAAATGCATGACTTGCCAATATGTTAACACCACAACATCCATATCTGGCCCCAATGGAGAATTTCAAATACAACAATCATTCAATTGCATTTCAACAAGCCTGATATAGTGTGTACGCTATATGTTGGTCAAACGGTTCACCACTTGGGGGATTGTTCATGTGAACATCTCTCTTATATAAGAAATAATGACGCTACAAAACCCACAGGTGGACACTTTAATAACCCTTCACATTTCATGTCTGACTTCTCCATACTAGGACTCACATTTGCTCCATCCACTTTAACGTAAAGAGAACGACTGGAAAAACGTTTGATTTTTAGATTAGGCACTTTCGAATGAATGAAGATTTCTCTTTCCCTTAACTTTATCCTTTCCATTTCCCCACCCTGCACTTTTTCATTACTTTCTCACACTGACATTTAGTGTCTACAACCTTTTCTCTCAAGGTTCACACACTTTTTCCTCTCTAGCCCATTTAATTTAATCACCCACTTTTGTTACTTTTATATTCTTTTCTCTTCACCGTCATTCTTCACTCCTATTAAGTTTACATATCTTTTATTGTTGTATCCCATTGAACAATATTACCCAATGTTCGTGTTCATTCATTTTCTTACATTGTTGCCTGTATTTTTGTTCTACATTTCCGTTTTTTATTATTTACTATGATTAACTATATTTACACAATTTTTATACCTTTATTATTATTATCTTTGTTTATATGTTACTTTCTTTAGCTAATTTGTAGCTTCAGGAACATGTCCTCGAGCCATGTGGTATTTGTTCTTTCAACCTAACCCTTATATTAACAGTTATATTGTCACTGGTAATCTGGTGAAGGGCTGTTGCCTGAAAGGTCGTTCTTGTATTATTAATAAAGTTATTTTAATTTGGTGAGTTTTAACCACTACTCTATATTTTAATATGCAATTTGTTATTTCTCCGCCTATGCAATTCTTTTATTACTCAAACTACCTTTAATGTTTGTCAGCATTATTCCATAATTAAATATTTTGTAAAATATTAATAGCATACTTTACTTACTAATACAATAACCTGACTACACTTATGTAAACATTACAAATTTGAAGTTTAAAGAGCACTAACCATATTCAACAGTCAGTAATCAAAAATACCTTACTGTTTGTAGTAACTTGATTGGTCATCTATAAGTATAGTACATCTCAAAAAATACCTTACTGCTTGTAGTAACTTTAACAGTCATCTATGTGTACAGTACATCTAAAAAAATACCTTACTGCTGGTAGTAACTTTGTTGGTCATCTATGTGTACAGTACATCTCAAAAAATACCTTACTGCTTGAAGTAACTTTGTTGGTCATCTATGTGTACAGTACATCTAAAACAATACCTTACTGTTTGTAGTAACTTTGTTGGTCATCTATGTGTATAGTACATCTCAAAAAATACCTTACTGCTTGAAGTAACTTTGTTGGTCATCTATGCATATAGTACATCTCAAAAAACACCTTATTGTTTGTAGTATCTTTATTGAACATCTATGTGTATAGTGCATGACCAGTTCTATATACAAAAACACTTAAGATCTCAGATTTCGATTTTTTTATGTAAATTATGTTACGGTATGGGGAAAATAACTTTCATAATTTAGTCATATTTAGGTGCTGGAAAAATCAGAAAAGAATCATGGAAATTCAACAGAATAATTTCAAGTCATTTTAAGGGATGAATAATGCCTACAGAACATCTAAGCAACACTTCAAAGTCAACTTATATAGCTTGCAACATAGCACTTACCATTTATTACAAAGCAACCAGCTATTCAATATAGTGAGATAATTCTCAGAGATACATGTTGAGCCTTCAATGGAATAAACTACTTGCTATTTGTTGTTGTTGAGTTTTAGCACAAAGCTACACAATGTGTTCTGTCCACCACAGGGAACTGAACCCTGGATTTTAGTGTTGTAAGTCCATAAACTTACTGGTGACCCACTGGAGAACTACTACTTGTTGGATAGGCATAAAAACTAATGAGGAGACTGAACTACTTGTTGGAAAGGCATAAAACTAATGAGGAAACTGAACTATTTGTTGGAGAGGCATACAAACTAATGAGGAGACTGAACTACTTGTTGGAAAGGCATAAAACTAATGAGGAGACTGAACTACTTGTTGGAGAGGCATAAAAACTAATGAGGAGACTAAACTACTTGTTGGAAAGGCATAAAACTAATGAGGAGACTGAACTATTTGTTGGAGAGGCATACAAACTAATGAGGAGACTGAACTACTTGTTGGAAAGGTATAAAACTAATGATAAGACAGAACTACTTGTTGGAAAGGCATAAAACTAATGAGAAGACTGAAGTACTTGTTGGAAAGGCATAAAACTAATGAGAAGACTGAACTACTTGTTGGAAAGGCATAAAACTAATGAGAAGACTGAACTACTTGTTGGAAAGGCATAAAAACTAATGAGGAG